CCCACACACACACACACACACACATCGCCATCTCCACAGGCGCAACGAGTGGCGAGACAGGCCACTAAAGCAACGGTGGACATTACTGGCAACATCACTCATGATCTCTCGCGGATGGCTTTTGCTATCTCCATAAGGGCATGGCACATCATTCTGTTCACCTCATCCGCCGCAGCATAATGTTTCCTCTGCACCTCCACTTTGCTCTCCAGGATTTCGCACTGACGTAACATCATCGAGCATTGCCGCTTGCTCGCGTTGTCCATTGTGCTCGTCATAAGCGCACCATACTTGTCCATGACCTCGGCGACGGCCTCAAAGGTTTGTTGCCGCATGTTTTTCCTCTTCCAATAACCGCCGCCGCTCCCCGCGCTGAATGTGGAGTCTTTCGTCGACCCTTGCTCCTCGTCGGCTGCCTCCCCTCCACCCTCAGTGGCCATTGTGTCCCCTGCACCCCCCGCGCCTGCCAGCATCTGAACCCCACTGGCCGCCCCCGTGTCCGCCAAATTTTTCGGGTGGATCGTGTGATCCCCCTTCGTCATGGCCTCCATTTCGTCGTACACGCTCCGGTCCATAACGAAGTTGAAGCCCTTCGATCGCCTGACCATTGATGCAAGCTTGAAGTAGTCTTTCCCACCGGAGAGGTTTTGGAACTTGTGGACCTTTTTGAATTGCTGCATCAAGTTGTCCCATTTCTTTCCGCAGTCGACGACCTCCCTCGTCACGCCCATGGACTGCAACCTCCCCCGCACGTCCTCCCACTTCCACTCCCTCGTTTTCATGTGGGCGAAACTGGTGCCCATGCCGGCGATATACAGATCTTGATCCCTTTTTGCCCTGACGAGTGCGATCGTGTCTCCCACCGACCAGAAATTCCGGCCGCCCTCGCCATCGCTCCGGCCCGTGTTGTCATCCATTTTTTCTTGCTCCGTCGACTTTTCGTAGCGGGACCCTTCCTCGCAGTCGCTCCGTTGTTCGTCGCCTTCCTCCCCAGCGGCCTAATGTCTCGCAAATCATCGGAGTTGCAATCGTCGTCACCATCAACGTCGTCACACCCCTGGGCCTCCTCAACAGCAGCTTCGTCCCCTTTGTCCACGTGGAGCCGTTGCACCCCTCTCGTTATTGTCTTCGTTCCACGTTGATGCAAGGCCTGCCTGCACTCTGCCCACAGCTGCCTCCCGTCACGGTGCACGTCTGCACCTTCCTCACGCAAATCCTCCGACCGCTGCCCTCCAGGAGGAGCGTCGGATCCGCTTCGCGACGCAGGTGACAACCGCATCCACTCTGGACGTTCACGCGCACCGACTCCTCCGCCGACGGTGGACGTCGACTCATTCCGATTACCACCACCTTCACGAATCGATTGAGGCAGACCGCCGTCTCACGGCCCGCACACACCACCGTGCGTGTTGTCCGCGCAATCCACGTGGGGATTGATGATCCGAGTGTGCGTTGCCGTTGCTCCGCTGCTGCTGGACAACTGGAAGCTGAGATCAACCGCTGCATTGCCGTCATCGTCGCACAGCCCCTCGTAAAGTAGTGACGTGTAAGACCACGGGGTCTCCACCCGCCTGCCGCCGCACGACTGCGTTGCCGCCCATTCCTGCGTCGACCCACTTCCCAACGGCAAAGTCGACGACCTGGCGTCTCCCCTCTCGTCATCCGACAGCGGCAGAGGAATCCCGTGAGAAAGCAGGTGTGCATACAACCTCGGGTCGTACGGCCGCTTCGCCACAGACCCCGCACTGTGTTGCCGATCGCTCACTCCGGAGGTTGTGCCTGCCGGTCTGCCGTTGCCCAGTCGTCGATCCATCCTGTCGGCTTTCTTCGAAGATCTCCTTCTGCGAGCCGCGAGCGGGACGAGGCCGACGAAACACACGTGGAAGAAGACAACGACGAAAAGCAACACGACGACGAGGACCAGCAGAGGCAGCCTGTGCAGCAGGTCGACCATGTAAGGGCCGTTCGAAGGGCTTCAGTGTGACGTTGGCGGTCGACCGTTCAACGAACAAGCCTGTCGACACAAGAAAGATCGGTGAAAGTTATGTGCTCCAACGTGCAAGGCATGACGATAATCGAAGAAAACGAGGATCTTGTCCAATGAGAATGTCGTCGTTGAAAGGGGCGCCGGGTGGGAAAAGCATTCGAATTCCGGACCGTTGTCGACGATTGCCCGCCGCAGCAGACCTGACTGGACGCCGGCCGGCATTTCACGTCGACGGACGGAGGCCTCTCGACGCCAGTTACCATTGAGAGCCGTTGGGGCGCCGTGCAGATTTTGGACGCACGGATGTTTGTGCTCCGGTTCGCTGGACCACGTTTGGACCACCCTCGAACCGAAATTGTGCGTCGACGCATGCCTTCGCCGCTCCGAAATTTGCGGTTCCTTGTGCTCCGAGGGACCTCGGGAGATCCCTTGGGGTTAAGGAAAAATTGGTTGTGGCCAGAAGGACGCCACAAGGAAATCTCCTTCTGGTGTTTTCACATTTTTTTTCGAGAATCGTCCCCAATGACAGGTGAAACGATCATTTCCTTGTGGATTTCGGGTCCACAAGGAGTGTCTAACGAGGCCCTTAGTCCTCCCGCAGGATCCCTACGGAGTCTGTATTTGAGCTATGTCTTCCTCTGTTTTGTATGGGATGATGGACCCATTTCCCAGCAGGTGCAGCTCCCCACCAATAGATTGGAGTCTTCAACCATAGGGCCCACCTGAGAGGGATGCTCTTATCACCCGTTCAAGTGGTCACCCCAGCCATGAAGTTAAAATAAATAAAAAATAATAATAAAAAAAAGGTAAAAAAACTACAGATTTAGGGGTCGCAAGGTCTCCAATACAATGTCAAAGAACTGCAGATTCAGGGGTCGCAAGGTCTCCAATCCAATGTCAAAGAACTGCAGATTCAGGGGGCGCAAGGTCTTCATTCCCGCTTCATCGGGTGGAGCCCCTCGCCTGTAGAAAACCACTGTCTTCCAAAAGAAAAAAACACTACCAAATCCCCGAACCCCACTTTCCAAAAGCACCCAAAAAAGTCCGCAACAAAAGTCCACAGTCTTCCAAAAGAGAAAACACCAAATCCCCGATTCCCGCTCTCCAAAAGCACCAAAAACGTCTACAACGAAAATCCTATTTAGGGTTTCGACTAACGCCACAAGTTTCGTAAAAATCATGACAACAACGATTCTTAATTAAGGTTTGTACTAATTCCCAGGTCCCACGACCAGCCCTAACCCTAACGAACCCGAAATCCCTAAACTACATGTAATCTGGTTTTTATTTTTACCGGCTATCGTAAGCCAAAAGAATTCAAAAAATCAATCACTAACATATTCCAAATATTACGCAAAATTGGCAACACACCCCGTAATACTCCAACACGGAGGCGCATGAAAAAAATCTAGGCAGATAAAAATCCAAACTAATACTAAAGAAGCAATCCAAAGTCTATTAACCTCATAAAATGAAACAAGATGTAAAAAAACACTCGTCTTCAGCAAGTCAGCACATAATTTTCCTTAGCAAGGGAACAAGAGGTACACACTGACACTTTTAAAAAATATATATTTGGTTTTAGTCATCAAGTTCCATCATCGGGATTCACAATCTGGGGCGAGGTCCCACGAGCAAAGAGGATTGGATTGAGCACCTGGATCTGGACATGTCTGTGTAAACGTGCAGAAAATCGAGATCCAACTGCTTTTCTGCATATTAAAACACGTCCAGAGTCAAGATATTTATCCAATACTCTTTGTTGGTGGGACCTCGCCCCTGGTCTATATTTGCAACGGTTCATGGGTGTAGCCACTGAGCTGGCATCGCTACACCGCTATCAAAACAAAAAAAGAAAGAATGCATCCTCCCCAAAAAGTGGTAAGATGCATATGTTGCTATTCACAGTAACGGATGCATTTTGCCATGCTCTGCGTGAAGATGCATTCAAACTGTTTTTCGTTTCGACAGCGGTCTGGCGAGGCCCCTAGGCTTTATTTTTTTTTTTTAAATAAAAAGGGGCGATGGCCTTGAGGTATTATCATCGGCTAATCAACCCAGGCCAATTCAATCTTGTGTCTAATATTACACCGGTGACCTTTTCAGCCCAATGTGGCTTTATTGCCTTCAGGGAACCCCCAATGGAGGGCACCGACCAAGGGACAACCCATAGTAAAGGGACCAAGCATCATCTGAGCGGCCAGTCGCTGTGCCTCCCAGATTAACCCTCCCCCTATGAACATCAACAGCACATTAGTCACACTTTTTTTTTTTTTTTGCTTTTTTTTTTGCACTTTTTTTTTGGGGGGTTGGGGGGTGGGGGAAGGTTAGGATTCCATTATAAAAGTCTGAAAGGAGGCTGGGAATCCACACAAACAACCTGGGAAAAAAGTGGGGCCGTAGCCAAGTTTCAACTCTATGAAGTCGATGCCCCTGTGTCGAAGAAGGAATGAGATTGATGTTTTTGGGAAATGAAACCTTCGACGGGGTATGGAGAAGGGAAGAAGAAGTGATGGTCAGAGCAAAAAAGACGTATGAAGAGAGAGGGCTGCAAAGTATCATGAGATGGGATCACAAAGGCTCATGGGGGAAAGCATATGTTCTCCCAAAACACAAGGATATCTCGAAATTTCAGCCAATCTCACCTTCGTTCCCAGAACCGGTGAAGGCAAACCAGAGGGTACCGTGTGATGCGCAACCGCGCGACGTTTCATACCGAGGGATGCCGATCAGAGTAATTGGGGGCATGGCCGAAGATTTTGGGTGGGGGTTAAATCGCCCGCGCGGAACGGGGGATTCTCGCTTTTGTCCGAGGTTATTCCAAAAATGAAGCCCGACAGAGGGGGCTTGAAAAGGGAATGCAAAAGACTTCAAAGGGTAAGCAGGACCGTCGTGTGGGGTTTAAGCAAATTCCGCTCCGCTGTGGGCTAGGGAGCTACGCGCGACTCAGGCGTCGGCTGGCAATAGGAAAATGGAAGACGAGGAATCCACCGCTTCTCTCGCGCAAGGTTTACGCCAACTCTGTTGCAAGAATCCAAGATATAAGGAGCATCCAGGCCTTCGAGTCGGATTCATTAACTTTGCGAGGTCGACTAGGAGTGTCGTCGTCCGATCGGGGCGAGACTGGGGGAACCCAGGTTTGAAAGCTTGTCGGTAGGGCGCCCGCACTGCAGGAGAAATATGGGAACTGAGTCGAGCCTTCGTACCCCAGCACCAGCCTCCGCCAGGAACACGAGTCTTCCTGCCGACACCAGCAACAATTAAACTGGGGCCTCCACGTGGCGTGGGCTGCTGACCAAGGCAGCACCGTCAAATCCGTGTAAGGCAAGATCCAGGCCGGGGAGGAAAATCAATCAATCATAACAAACCCACTCCCTCCTACGTGACAAGCCTTGGAAGGGTTGTATACATGAACCCAGGCGGTCCGCAACAACGCGCTCCCCACACCCGCATCGCAGTACACACTGTCTTCATCTGTGATCGGGAAGGGTGGAAGGGTGTTGTGGCGAATCGACGAGAGGGTTGAGCACGGGCAGTTACCAGCGCTCACGTTTAGCATAGTAAATCTCGACTCTATGCAAATCTCAATGAGCCTCGCCCCACTCCCTCCCATTTAATCAAAATGCAAGTTTAGGAACGTAGTGTCGTTTGTCACAGGATCGTTACCCGGACAATATGGCTATGGTCGTGTAGCAATGAGATCGGGCGACGCGCCACGAAGCATGCGACTGATGTCTTTTGTTGTTGGTGATCAGCCCCATGGAACACAGGACAAACCGACACGTAGCACATGCGAGCGAGAGGGGAGAGAAGGAAAAGTCGGCGACGATTTCCCACGCTCATGCATAGCGCAAGGATTGGTAAGGGTC